TTTAAGACTGTCACTTTTGTTTAAGAGAAGGTTGAATTCAAATGCTTGTGTCACGGCCATCTGATCTGTGGCAAAGATGTGGGCCGATCTTGTCATGTTCTATTCATCTCATTTTAGTAGCTTTCAAGACATATTTGCACATTTCAGTGGATGCTTGTGAGCGGAATGAAAATGGTTAGTTTAATTAATTTTATTTATCTATCATATGAAAGCTGGCTGATTCTAATAAAATGCTGTATCCTGCAGTTTGTCAGGGCAGAGCAGAGCTTAATGAATGTTTAGCATCATCAGTGCTTAATGCTTTAAAATAATGGCCATTATAATGCTTATTATCATTTATTACTAATGTATTATGTGTGAATCTGCAGCCCAGAGGAGTGAAGCAGTTCTTAGAGATATCTAGTTTCTGATATGTTCAGCCTCTCTAAAATAAGTCTGTTAATGTTTTTTCCAGGGGAAAAAAAGTCTTTTTAGGATTTTATGAATGTATTAGGAATCGTCGGCCAGCAGACATTGAAACAAGAAGCCAGTTTCATTCAGATCGTGTTCATTACAGGTCTCTTGACCACCAGTATTCTCCATGCCTTTAGGATAATCCCATCAAGGTTTATATCAGGATCAGGATTTAATTGCATGAGACTCCTCTACAGTCAGTTTTAATCACCAGTGCTGCTGAAGCTGATAAATTATGACATTTCTTGAAGACTTAATACAAGGGCAGCTATCTTTGACTTCACTAAGTTATTTAGTTTGTAAGTTTAGGGGTTGGGGATGTTGGAGCTAGTCCAAAACTACTACTGCCTGATTCAGCTGTTTCACTGAAACTAACAATTAATCACTTACATTGTATAGATTTGTCTCGAGTGTGTTTTCAACCATGCTTTAATGTAGTGGCAGCAGAAAGTTAATGTTTTCACTTAACCCATGAAGATGTACCACTCCGTGTCCATCTACCTGCTACACTATGCTTTAGAACAAGAGTTATCAACATCACCTATGAACATTATCTGGATGCTCATTGTAAAGTTGCAACTGTGTAATAAACCAACTGTTTATTAATTAGTAAACATCCAGCCATCTATCTGTTTTCTTCCACATATCCAACGCAGGGTCAGTGTTAGGCTGGATCTCAGCTGTTGTGCCTCCCAAATAATTATTAACTGAAGGTAAATTGACAACTGATTAACCATTTATTATTATCATCATTATTATTTAATAATAGGGGTATTAAAGTGTACCCCTATGTTGTAGTGTGGTGTTTAATGTCAAAGCAAATGATTCAGTGAACAACCAAGTAAAAAGTTTCTCTACATTCCCCTAACTCAAAAGTGCATTTTATCCAGTACTTATAACTAAGTGAATGGCAAACTAAAGATTTCTTCTTTTTAGAGCCAATATATAAATCCTTGCACGGTAACACATTCAAGTGAAATGGTGAACACAAAAATGTCAGTGTTGTCATTGCGAACATGTTATTACTGACATTGCTATTTAGCTCAAAGGACCATTAAAAGCTAGATTGAAGAGATGAGCGGCTGACCCTCTTTTGAACTATGACCTGGCATCGCGTGCTTCCGATAGTGTGGTGGTTAACACGTTCACTTGGCGAGTGAAAGGTTGAGTCCTGCCAGAGAAACAAATTCCCTTTGGGGTTGGAAGGGCATCCAGCTTTCAGCGTAAAACCCTGCCAGATCAAAAATGTGGAGCTACCTGCTGTGGTAACCCCCTTGTTGCAAGGGAGCAGCTGAAGGAAGCTTTTATCACAGAGCACAAAATGCACAATAGTGTGTGTCTTGCTGGGCCTTCTAGGGATAGAAAGACAGAGAAAGTGAGACAGACTAATAAATATTTGGTGCTGAATTTGACAGTTAGGCAGGCTGGGTATCTAATTAATCAAGAAGGAGAAGAGAAGGACTTCATGCCAGTCCACCCACTAATCTTCTGACTTCCATTTTTGGTGATTACATGAGCCAGCACACTGAGATCTTAGAGGGTGCAAAGGTGGAACACGGAGAACTGTGAGGTCAAAAAGATGAGCTGGTGCAAGCTTATGTAATTAATAAAAATCCTGGTTTCCACATGGAGTCTCTGAAATAAGGACAAATTGTTGTTATAAGGTCAGTGCTTTTCATTTTCGTCTGACAGCATTATTTAGTTCAAGATGAAATTTTAATCTTCCACAATGTTTAAAAAAAAAAAAAAAAAAAAAGGATGCAAGACTTTCTTTTATGATGAACTGGAAAAATTATGAAGTACTGATTTAAATTCACCTCAGTCAGTGTTTAGAGGTAAATGATGTCAAGTAAACCCAGTGAAATGCAATGATTTCTTGGTACATTTGCAAACTGAGACACACAAACCAACAAAGTGATTAGGCTATGTGTGTCGGTAGGTGAAGGCACGATGCTCTCTGAGGAGCCAAGGTTGTAAAATATCACTGCTAAAATGAAACGATTACGTCATAAATGTCGCACTTTCTATCCTAGATCTCATTCATCTCACTACTGCAGCAGCACAGAAAGAAAAATCAACAAACTGACAATAAACACGCTTCTAATCTCATGCACAGTTATTATACTTGTGCTGAAGATGTGCCAATTATCCAACCTGAATTCATAAACAAGCCTTTTAAACTTCTACTAATTGATCACAACTAATACAAGACGATAAAAGAACCGAGGATATTAGCTGTGTTAGCGAGTGCACTTACACAACGCTCGCTTACACAATGCCTATCCTTGTGTTGTGTAAGTGACACAATGATGTAAGTGACTCAACTGACACAATAAAGAAGGGCTTCTTTATTATTTTCTAATAAAAGGATTTCTTTTATTAGAAATCAAGTCAGTGCTTCTATCTTTCTTGACAAGTTGTTGATCTTAGCCTTGTTTAACTCATTTGTCTTGTTTTCCTATTTAAACACTCTTCATTTGAAGCCAGAGATGAAAAGGCATTTTTGTTGTCTTGTGACAGAGCTACAGTTTACAGGTGCTTTTTAAGGCCTAAAATAAAGATTTTTCCAAAGACTATGTGGCAGGTGAAGTACTGCTTTCATCATCCATTTAATAATGACAGTAATAATATGGTCTGCAAATGTTGGGATGGGTTGGGAGGATCCTAGCAACAGAACCTGCTGGGAAATACTGTTCCACCATTTTTTTCATTTTTATTTTATTTTTTTACATTTCACAAAAACTTTAATAAGAAATAATCAGACTGATCGAATCATCCAACAGAGTCAAATTACTCTAATAAATTGTAGACTTTCTGCAACACAATGTGCAATAAACTACACCACAAAAGCATGTTCTTCTTTGTCATATCAATCTGTACTTGAGCATATTCCCAATCAGCTTCATCAATATCTGCATAACTATAAATCTGTCCAAGGCCAAATATTTTTCATCAGTTTCATTTCAAAGTATATTCTTTCCCAGCTATAGTGTGAGTCTCATGACCAGGAGTTCAAGTGAGATTATACATGTGGGGAAAATGATATATGGCTGATTTCCAAACCCCAGCTTGTACAAAAGGTAGAATTCAGTGAGTGAATCTAAAGAGCACCATCACCTTAAAGATAAATTGATGTAACCTAGTAACAGTACTCTAGATGTAACCAGCAAACCACAAGGCATCACTGTAAACTTTTAACTAATCAGTATAACCCACACTAAACAGCCTGATGTTTCATCCAACCTATTCATGTAACACAAAACCAGCCCATTCATCCAGTCTCTTCTGCTTATCCCTATCCCAGCTACCATAGGGTGATAGGCAGGGTACATAACAGAAAGTAGAAAGAAACTTCAATTTGTGTTGCAAGACAAACACATAATTTAGCATAATTCAGCATATAGCTCCAATATCTAAATTTCTTATTCCTGAGCTGTTATCTCCATGGCATCACTGGAAGCAACGACAGGCTGCAGCACACAAAAAATTAAAGTCATTCAACAGTGATATGCTTAGCCTGCCTATCAGATTTAATTACTCTTTAACTAGAAGTGCCAGAAAACTGTTCTGATTGTTCCGAACCGCTTTAACCCCTCACTACACCTTCTCAGACAAGGGGTCACACTGACCAAAGAATGATCTTGTTCAGCTCACTTTAGCTCATTCAGTTATGCAGTTGTTATTAATTGCCTAGATAGTGCGATTGCAGACATTTGTTTTTCATTGCATAACATGCTGATGCCCCCCCCCAAAAAAAACCCCCCACAAAAAAACAAATGTGAGTCCTTGCAATGAAATGAATATTGTTCTAGTTGTATGTCTGACCACCGGACCTATATTTATTAGCTATAGACCACTAAGACCAGCAGCCCTCCCCTCCTCCCCTGTACGCTCTTTTAAAGCACATCAAAAGGGATCTGTGGCATAACAACAGTCTAATTTGAGTTCTAGTCCTGATTCCGGTGTCTGGCAATTCTTAATCACAAACAAGACTTGACATTTACTTAATTCCCTTTCCTTCAAATTAAATAATATATCCTCATTTTCATGCTAAACGGAACCCCCTTTAAAGAGACTTTTACATCATGTCCTACATAACAACTCAGACAAAACTTACTAAAATATTTGTTTAAAAAAAAACACAATTATTGACAAGGAAGTGCATGGTTATACAACTGTCATGAAATTAGAATAAATGTAAAAATTTCTCTTGTGGTTTAAAAAAAAAGCATTTTAGTGTCCAAGTTTCATACCAAACACATTAAACACTATTTTTTCTTGAATGTAAAATAACGACACGGTATTTCTTTTATAACGTAATCTGACAAACAGCACTGTCGCCCTGTGTCCTTTGCACTTCGCTCTGCATAAAGCCAAGCGGAGACGCTGGTGGGAGGGTTTATTCCAGCCGGGCAGACATCCGGACATCAGTTCTGCACATGTAAGTGAAAACTGCCGTGTTTTAGCTCAATCTTCCTGCTGTTTAACAAATCATAAACAAATATGGCAAAGCTGGCTCTGCGACACATGTTCAGCGAGCAACAGCTGGCCTTCAATTGTTTTAGCAGCTGCCTACGCGTCGATGGACGCAGCAGACTCCCGTGTTTGTGTGGCGTAGTTGTGTTTCCGCCGCTAAGACGCCGACAGCCAAAAGCCGCCGATGATGTACCCGTCCTCACTTCTCTTGCACTTTCTTATGGTCTGCATTTTGTCTATTTCCACGACACAGTTACTCACTTCCCACTGTGACTTCGTAAGTGAGGGCTCACTTGACCGCAGTGCTGCTGATCAGACTGTCCTTCTAACATCACCCGTTTACGTGGTTTAATTTGAAACCGATGGCCAAGCGTTATATTGTGAACGTTGTTTTAATTCACCCATGAAAAGGAAGGTTTCCTGGTTATTCCTGGAACTTAGTAATATGCTTTGGAAACTTGTCATTGGCAACAGGTGCACGTTTGAACATGCCTCAGGTGACGCAGAGGTAATCCCAGCCCACATTTATCTGGATTTGCGGATCAGTCATTGAATATTTGGTCCTTTAGAAGAGCAAGAAGTCACTGAAGAAATACTGACTTTTCATCTGAAACGTGGCTGTGGTCGAGAGTCAAATCTGAATGTTAATTTAATGTTGGATCAGCATTAAGATATCAGTGAAGCCAAACAGCGTGTCGACACTGGAATAGGACTGATTCATAGGGGTTTTTGTAGTTGACCAGTGAGGCTGAAAAGTCAACAATTTATAGTTGGTCGAAATTAAAGATGGTTTCACCTCTGCCACATTATTATGTTGAAAAGTCAGCGATTAATGTTGCTGATCCTGTGGTAGACAACATTTGAGAACCCCAGAGATGTCTCCTGTAAGTGCATCAGGTAAGCATTCAGTTATTTGTCTAATGTTTGTGTAAAATGTATTTTTTTTACCAGTTATGTGTTATGTTCATTGTTACTGTGACAAAGATTTGTGACCGTCACAGTGACCAGATACTGAAGTCAGCCTGTTACTGTACCTGGTAGAATAATGCTAGCTAGGGTGAATTAGGAGAAAGTTAAGCCCAAATCAGAACAAAGTGTGTTCCTTTCATATTTTTATCATATTTTTATTCATTTTTTATAAATATTTTGCTTTGGTGTTTTCTTTTCCAGATGGTCTAACTCATCAGTTGGTCAATGTGGCAGTGTGAAGTCTGCTTTACCCAGGCAGTTCACAGCTACGGTCAAGACGGTGTGAAGGGAGTCTGGATGAAAATGTAGGAGTAAATTGACAAACCAAATTTTAAACCAACCCTGATGATAATAAAGTAAATAAACTGCTTTAACTGATGTGAAGTTGTCTGTTATTTGCATGTTAGAGCCTAATGTTAAATTGTACAGTTAAATATATTTATCCTTTATCTATAGCCAAGATAAATGTTATAATTGTGCTAATATTTTGAAGTATTCTTTGTAGTGTGCTGTATTAAATATTAGCTGAAATACCACTATGGTCCTGTGGACCTTTGGTAGTGATGTTACTGCTGTTCTAATATTGATCAGTGGTGCAAAAGGGAGTAGGACTCAACAGCAGTGTTCAACATTGATTCAGTTACATGTAAGTTGACAACAGACTGTTGTTAAAACATGATCTCGGCTATTGTTGGCTGTCTGTTTCAATACTTGTGTTGTTTCAGGGTTGATTAAAGACCCTTGACCAGTTATTGATCAAACAGTGTAGGTAGACTGGATTAACTATTGCTATGTTAGCTGAGCTCAGTGTAAATGTCAGCATCTGCTGCATTTAAGAAAGTAGATAAATGGACATATGAAAGTGATTTATGATTTCAAATGTTATTGCTAAACCTAAGTACTAGAAACATGTCATGGTCTGGTATTTTTAGGACGGTCTCTCAAAAAATGTATAAATTAGAAAATTCACATTTATAGTAGGTGGCTTGTCATATATTTAGGTTTTTCTTTTCTTTGTCTTAGTTCCTGGATTGGTCATTGGTTTCAGATTTACATAAGTGTCTGATCACAAGCCAATAGTGGGCACCCAACATCAAACAGCTCTCACTGCTGGAAAGTGGGATGTGTTGGGAAAATAAAAGAAACATATCCGTCGGAGAGCAGTGGCTCAGAATCTGTGCTCTCACTTTTAAGCCATTTCTCTAAATACACAGGCTGCTCTGTAATGACTGCTAAGATCTGGTAGTCATGGATGCATGCTCAGCTTTAGTATTCCTATAGATAAGTACAATGGGAGCTGAAGTGAAGAATAAATACAGGAAAGCTTTTGGAGATGTTGACTTAGGTGAAGTTCAATGTAAGAAAACTTATTTTTCAGGGATAAAAAGCAAAAATGATCCAGATGTGTCATTGTTAACAGTGTTTGAGTAACACGTCGTGGCAGGTCATTGTTTTTATATGACAGCAAGCATGTTAATGCTCACTTGAAATAATACTTTTTTTTTTTCTTTTTTGGCAGATTGTGAGCCATGGCATCTTCCCTCAAGAGTTTGGTTAATGATGATGACCGATACCAGAAATCCTTCCAGCTTTTTTTGGAGCGCTCGTCTGAACACCAGTGTATGCGGGACTTCATCCACAATAAACTGCCAGATATACTGGCCAGGTAATCTACCACACACAGCTTTGAGCAACTCTGCACGACCATACCATTCAACATGGCATGCATTATACTACAGCTGAATCTGAGAATCAAAGCAGTATTTAAAGCTAAGCAATCATTTACTGTCAAAACTCTGAAACTTTGGTGCAAGCCTTAAAAACCTGATACAGTAAGGTTTAACTGTATTAAACATATGATTTAAAAATGAAGCTGATAAACTAGAGTACCATAAGTCAGGAGGCGTTAATAACCTTTAACCTCAGCTCCTTTTAATATGGTAATTTGAGATGTAGATTGGGTAAAATAATTGAATAAAAAGTTAACTCATGTCTGGTGTTGTGGTGGTTAGCATCATCTCCTGACAGCAAGAAAGTCCTGGGTTCAAATCCACCAGCTGGTTGTGTAGATTGTGTATATTCTTCCTGTATCCTCATGGGTGCTCTCTGGGTGATCTGGATTTAGTCCAAAACTGCAATCCCAAATTGGATAAGTGAAAGAAAATGGACCGATAGATGGAAAACCCTTAAGAACAGCCAATTAACTTTGACACTTGATATGTCTGTATAGGTTCTCAGTCATCTAGGTCATGGTAGACCTAGATGACTTGCTTTCTTTCCAAGCTCCTTAGACTAGATGCATGGTAGTGTCAACATTAGTCAGGGTTAAAAGTAAGTGGGAATTGGGTGGCAACCATTTATTGTAATCTTATTAGATGTGAGTCAATTGAAAAAAATACAATCAGGCATTATAAAGTATATATTTTGTTGTGTGTCGTTTCTTATTTTACTTAACTATGCAAAGTCTATGAAGTCATTTTGAAACCTTTCAAATATCATTAAGAATAAGCCACAACATTAAAACCAAACTACAATATTGTTGAAGTACCCCGTGTGTCAAAGACTCATCTCTACACACATCTCTGTGCATGGATCTCTATGATTGCCCTATGAGAATTTACAATTAATTAGCAATTACAGCTAATCTGTGGAGCCTTCTTGGACTGGATTCTTCTGTTGCACCTTATGGATTATGCAAATAGGGAGTTTGAAGGCCGGGCAACCACTTTAGGGTGTCTGTCATGTTCTGTATGGCATTCCTGACCAGTTGAGCAATGTTTAGATCAGTGATATAGGTTTAAAAAACATACACATAAATGCCTGGACCCTAGATAATTACAGTTTAACGAGATGATCAATATTATTCATTTCACCCGTGGTTAGTTTTAATGTTGGGCCACTTGTGATGATAAGCATCAGCCACTCATACCTTCAGACCGATTTGGAATATGTCGAGAGGTGACAAAATACAGTGTGAAAAGGAAGATCTGGAGCACACAGACCATTTAGTGACTAAGCTGTGTCAATCAGTCAACATGTGCTCTGCTTAATACTGCTGAAAGCAGTCAGAATTGCTGAGTGATTAGGACTGCACTACAGCCCAAAGCGGAATATGTAAGTACCGTTTCACTCACAGAATCAAATAACTGCCTACACAAGTGTACATGCTAGATTAACCAGCCAAACAATATGTGATTGTAAAAGACAATGACTGATTGCTGTGGAAATTCCATCTCTTCCTGTGTTATTTTCTGTTGATGTAGGAGGCAATTGACATGCAGCAGAAAAACAGACCCTCTCCTCTTCTGTGCAGGTCTAAAAAGCAGATCAGAGAGGAATCTGGAAAGATGTGACTCATGAGTAAATTAAAAAGGTGTTATTAAAAATCATACAGTGAGTGACAGAACATGCCACAGCAATAATCAAAGCCTGGGTATCTGTAGATTCTTCAGTCGCTACTTCAGAACATCTCACATGCCCAAGTGTCAGGGAGAACTGACAAGCCCAAAAATGTGACCCACATGTCACAGGTTGGAGGATGTGAACCTTTCTGAAGTGTTTTATCTGCTCTCTCCTCAGCATTGGAGATGGAAAGTCACATCTGAATGTCATTGGAGTTGGAAGTGGAGCTGGTAAGAAAATTCTGTTACCACTGGTCTAAATGTGACGCGTTAAAAAGCAGCGCGACCTGCGCAGCATCGAAAGTGACAAGACATTGCGTAAGCCATCTGTTACTGCTGTTGCTGCAGTTTTTTCATTTATGGTTGCAACAGGAAAAAAACAACAAAACTTTGCCCTTATTATCACTGCCAGCAGTTTGTAGACATCTGTCCAGTTTGTGAGATTAATCTTCAACCCAGGCCAGATAGCATGACCTCGCTGTTCTATAACTTTACTGCACATTGTTTTCAGTGCCCGTGATACAGCAAGGTTAATATTTTTCCTGAGCAAACCCAGTACATGCCCCCAGAGAGCTGTTACCCTTTGGTTATGTCTCCGCCAATCCTTTTAATTTACTGAGCTGTCATGTCAGAATCATATTGGAGCATTGCGGATTCTCTTTTCGGCTGCAAAATACATTAGAATGACTGGAAACTCCCCTGAAAGATATTATTCAATCTAAAAGATTTAACATGTGTCCACATGAGCTCCTTTGTACATGGCAACCTGTCACCTTCAGTTAGAATTAGAGCCAAATCCCTGGTTACGTGATACTGAAACGGTATCGCTGTGATAACTATCTCTCATGGTGTTGAATTACATTTTTTTTCACTTCTGTAATTACTGCAACAGAAAATGTATGATTTTCTGCAAAACTGAAACATGCTGTTAGATGCTTCCTGCACCATTTCAACTGATGTTGATCTGTTTGGCTAAAAGTGGAAATTTTATTTTCAATTATTTTTAGCAGTTCGGGAACTGTGGGAAAGTGGGTCAAATTTGTGTTTGCGACTTTGTCTTCCAAATAAAAAGTGTGCCTGTGCCTTTAGGTGAGATTGACCTAGAGATGCTCTCTGAGCTCCATAAGAAGCACCCAGGGGTGACGGTGGATAACGAGGTGGTGGAGCCTAGCCGCCAGCAGCTATATAACTACAAAGGTACAGTCTTTACAGGCACACACTTCTCTCACACAACACAAAATGAATCATTGTATTCTCAGCTGTCCAAAATGGGGTTCAGTATTTATTTACAAGCAAAACAGGATATTATTATATTTTTATTGGTGAAAAACAGCATCTTAAGAATTCACCGGTTCATATATTAGCAGGAAATAGTCATTTAACCACCAGTGGCGTTGTAGAGTTTAGCCTTAATGTCTGTAAGAATGGACCCGACTAAAGCATCTGTGAGTAAAACACTGAATCGTTACGAGTTTCAAGTCTGCTGCTGTCTGACCAGGATCCTTGCATACATTAAAGCTACAACCAATTATTCACCCAAAACTCCTATAGACACGATATCTGATTAAAAATAATGCATAAAGCAGGGACTCCCCCGTTCCTCATTGTTGATTTTTGTTGCTGGTTCTTTCCATTGTTCAACTTACAATCTAATGAGAGACACCTTTGCTGTTTAAAAATGTTTTAAAGCATGTTGAAATCTTTTGTTATTTGTGGAACTGATCATAATTGTCCCCTTAGATTTGCAGTTCAAAGAAAACAAAAGGTGTTTAAGTTTCCCCAAGATAGCAGACACATGCTGCGTTTTTACAAATGATGCAACATGAAGTGTAAGCCTCTACAAGAAGGGATGGGTGAGCTTATCATCTTATAGACTGGATGGTCTAATTTGCCGAATGATCTGCTTTGCAGAGGATTTCCAGACTTTCTTATTGACTATGAATTTGGTGAAAGTGTGATTGGTAATTGGTTTTGAAACAATTAGGACTATTCTCCTGGAGGTGTACTTCATGGCCTTTACCCCTCAGATGACTGGGTGTGTAAGAAATAGCAATATGATATGTAAGAAAAAAACCTCTTTGAATGATTGAAAGGTTCATTCTAAGGGGATTGTAATGTCGACATAGAGAAATAAAGTAAAATGTATGACATTTAAACTTTGCTCCGAGACATATTGATAGAGTAAATGAACCTCCTATTTTCTGTTGGAGAAGCAGCATTCCACCCACAAAAGACCTACCAGCCTACGACTGCAGATGCAATTAGCTCATGTAAATGAATCCATGAACTTACGATAAGTTGAATACCTGTCATGCTGGAAGTCAGTGGTGGATGCACGAACAGCAAAGAGTTTCAAACACACTGTAACATTTTAATTTCAATGCGTTGTGATCATTCTCAAAGGTCTCTGTGTGGTTGTGCCAAGTGGTCTCCATTGTTTTTAATGAAGTGTGATGCAAAACAAGTGCGTTGTTTTTAGAGGGGGGGGGGGTGCAAATTACAGAAATGCTCTCATCATTGTGACAAGTGTCAGCTCCGTTGTGGCCTGAAAAAAAAAATCAGCCACTCTAAGCTGTAAAATTTCATGCCAGCTTTATTTCGGTGTTAACTTGTAATAAATAACTAAGTAATTATCTGTCTGCAGTTTTAGTGTCACAGAAACCAGATTTAGATTACATCAAGTTCAACTGGAACACGATGACTGCCTCTGAGTTTGAGGAGCACTGGAAAGCCGAAAAGGCCACCAAGAAGGTGGACTTCATTCACATGATACAGGTCGGTGTCGATGAGCATACCCTGTGTTTTTTACACAGCTGGGTTACATTCATTTCTGGCAAATGGCAGCAGTAAATCCAATTAGAACAACTGCCTGGCACAGCGTTATAATTAGGCATTCTGTGAATGCAGTTAGTAGCTCATTATCTGTGGTGAAATCGACAGATGCTATACTACGTGAAGGATCCTGAAGCAACTGTCAGATTCTTCCAGGGTCTTCTTGGTAAAAATGGGAAGCTTCTCATAATTCTAGTGTCTGGTAAGTGGATATTTTCTTTCTCTCATGTGGGCGATTTAATTATGGTGCAAATAGCTAACGAACATACTGCTTATACATGCAATACATTTGGAGATGAAAGGTTTAAAACAGCATCTTACAGAAACAACCAAACCTTTTCCAGCATTCAGTTGATATATAGTACACGCACATAACTTCAGAATATAGAGCAGCAGTTATACTGCTGTTTTAACTTATTTATTTTCACTTAATTCAGTAAAAATTTTCAAATTTATTGCTGCGAAAACCAAGAGTGGCCAAAACTCAATTTACTAAGACACCTGCTCTCAGACATCTCATGCTGCCATGCTGCCCAAAACCAGTCTCAACCCAAATGAGATTCTTCACAGCCAGTCCTTCATTTAAAAAAAAATTAAAAAGCCTTGATATTAGTCTGACCTTTTTCCCCATGTCAGCACTAATGAGTCCATAAATATTGCAGACAACAAAAGAGACAGTTTGCTAGCACACACCGATCTCCTCGACATCTTCAGTGTATGCTGAGGTTCGTGTCATCTGCTTTGCTCCTGGTATGTGAATCCGTGAATGTGTAGATGCATAAAAATGCAACTTTTAACTTCAAGACAAAAACCTTAAACAGGGAAAATAAACAAGGCTCTGAGTGTAATCCTGAAGGAGCTAAAGCTTTTTCTTATTTCTTACTTCCCTCTGAGTCTTTCCTCTGAATTTATTAAATACCTGAGCTGCGATGTAGCAACGTGATCCATGTAAGCATCTCCATGGTGAAAAAATTGCTCTGATGCATATGAGGATGAATTCTCCCCGCATTGTACCACCAGCAAGTCATTATTCATTTATACTTATTCAGTCAAGTATGATTCAGTTTCTGGCCAATTCTAGACAGAAATTAGGATGGTGACCGTGCTAAACACCTGCTTGTCAAATTGTCATTGTTGTAATATAGCCTCTTTTTCATCTGTTCCAGGCAAGAGTGGTTGGGGGAAGCTGTGGCGGACCTACAGAGCACAGCTGTGTCAACCCGACATAAGTCAGTGTGTGACCACTGGAGACATCAAAAGCTTCCTGGACTCCAAGGGAGTGCGTTACCAGAGCTATGAGCTGCCATCTCAGATGGATATCACTGAGTGTTTCACTGAAGGGGATGAGAAGGGAGAGCTGCTTCTTGATTTTCTCACTGAGGTGCTGGATTTCAGTAACACAGCTTCACCTGAGCTCAGAGCTGGTGTCCTAGAGATGCTTCGGCACCCAGACTGTAGTGTAGAGTCCAACGGTAAAGTTATCTTCAACAACAACCTTGAAGCAATATCACTAGACCAGCTCTCCTAAACATGTACTGTCAGTATAGTAAATGTAGGTGGATCACATTGTTTGATTTATTTTGCACTTGATGTATATAATAAGCTGGGTAGAGGATATCTACACACCTGCTTCCATTTATATATTTTGTCTACTTACTAATAAAATAATGACTCCATAGACTGCTGTTGTTAGAGCATTTCTTAACAGTTCTGTAAAATCAAAGGTTATGCTTGTATATAAGTGAATTGGTTATAACTACTGTTTGTTATGAGTCTCACAAATAAGTCGTAAACTGCTTCGGACATTAGCTTTAGATTTCACCGTCGTATCATTTTTAATGAGCTGCATTTGGCAGGCTTCGGTGCTCCACTGCCAACCCCATTATGTTGTTTTCATTGGAACATGTATTAATCAAAATCTAAAAGTAAACAGAACATTAAGCAGTTCAGTTTTCAGTTCAGATGAATTAAAGTCGCTGCTTATACTGGACGTGTATAAAGCTGAAGTAAGTTACTTATACAACTGATTCTAAGATGAAGCTGTCACAATAGCATTTTGAAATTAAGATGGTTTATACATTAAAAATAAATTGTTTTCCTAGATGAGTAGATTCATCGTAATCATGGCGTTGTGACTGATTTGGGGATTGTTTACAATAACTGTTACAACCTTTTGCAGCTTAAATATATTTATGCTCCAGAATGTCTTTTCAGCTCAACAGCTTGTGCTGTTAATATTTATAAAATGGTAAAGATGATGTATGCTGTGGCAGCAGATGTTCTGCAGACACTACGATATAGCTGAACTTTTGGCACCATCTTGAGGACAACTTTACTTACTGATCTGCAAACACAACCATGTAACCATGACATGTAATGTATGAAATCATCTAAAGCAGTGTCTGTGAAGGTTCTCAGTCATCCAGGTCACCGTAGTCTAAAGAGCTTAGAAAGAAAAGCATCTGGACTTCTTTAAGTTGCTTCAAGATGCTGCAACTCTCATTCAAGAAGCTTCTTCAGTTCTAAATCTAGGACCAGAATCTTAGACCATCTAAAGTGGTGCATGCTTTGCATATGTTTGGTTAGTGTTAAGGGCAGGTGAGGCCAGTTGAACAGGTTGAGGAAAGCCCACTATTTCTGTTCTACAGAGAAAATGTTGAAGCCCAGCCCATTTGTGGAAGAGAAGAGAAACACCACAACTTAAAAGAAGGGGGAGAGCAGTTGGGTCTCTGCCCTCATTCGCCACAACCAGTCCAACAGTTCAGGACGCCCACTATTTGTGCTTTAGAGAGACTACTTTGAAGCCAGCCCACTTTGTGGGAGGGAATGTAAAGTGTGCAACTCAAAAGAAGGGGAAGAACTCGATTTCCACAGAGGCTACAGCTATTTAAGGTATTTTTTTTTTTATTATTCTTATGATGTAACTATATAATTAAAGTGTGGTGAGCAACTTGATTATGTTGTTGTTTTTGATTTCTGTGCATTGCAGGAATCAGTCATGGCTGCAGAAGCACAGCACACTTGTTATGAGGGTGACAATGTCCACATTTTCCAGTTCTATCTGGAACACTCAGGAGAGCACAAGGCCATTGTGCAGTGTGTTAACAATCTCCTAGCAAGAGAATTTAAAAGGTACAGCAGGAAATGAAATGCTTGAAGTAATAACCCATATTCCAAGCTAAGAGTAGGGGACAGACTGCTCATGCAGCACTACAGTAATGACTGTACTCAAGGGTTGGAATGTGAAAACTTTGACGTAAGTTGCATCTGTGTCCTCCACTTGTCAACAGTAGATGCTTTATACCGCCTGAAGTTCCACCACAGTATGGTCTCTGCTAGTTTATGGAAAGTCGTTTGAGCATTTATCCATTTAGTTAGCCAGGCTTAAATTGTTGCCTTCCTTATGTTACGTGCTGTTTTAGGGAATGGGGTAATTTAGCCCACCAGGGTCTGTGCAGATAACTTCAAAATGTCTTTTTAAAGGCAGAAGAAATTGCCTACAATTTCATGCAAGCTGCAGTGCACGCACACAATCTGAATTTTCATTCAAAAACTCAATTTCTTTCAGATTGTCCCTACTATGTCAAAACAACCCATTTGGTGCTAAATTGGATCAGCCTGATGGATGATGCTATGCTGTGATTGGTTATTACATTTTTATCCGTATTTGTCACACAGCTATTTAAAACAGACGGGAAGACTAGAAGAAGGGTTTCTTGTCTCTTTCACTGCCGCACAGCCCTCTTATAAAAAGTTTCTTTTCACCATGATCTCCTGAATATCCACAATTTGTCTATTGAAATAATGTTAACTTGTGCTCAGCAAGACTGGTCATTTTTTTAATAAACCCCCTGAAAGAATTCAACAGTACACTTGCAGTTTATCCTTTACACTTGTCTTTATTCACTTGATAGCACAAACATCTACTGTTTACTTAACTAAATGTACCTCACCAACTTATTTATTAAATGAAAAATGCTTTGAGATATTCTGTAGTCTGATAGTTTGCAATAGATTAAATTCCATATTGTAAGTAGAGGTGAAATGCTTAATAACAAAAGATGTATGGCTTTCAGCTTTTACGTTTTCATATTTTCCTTTTAGATTTTGTGATCGTTTAGAGGTTTGGGCTGATTGTTTTGAAAAGCAGCTGTCATAATGCTCTTGCTTTGAGCTCTGTAATTAGTTTTTTCACAAAAGAAAACATCCATGCTTTCAAACAGTCACTTCTTAGATGCTCTTTTTAGACCACCATTCAGGAGTGAAGCTGTTTTAAAAATTAAGCAAGCAGCTGAGCTGTGTACAACCCACTGAGCTGCCAACCCATCTATTCAATGATCCAGCCTAGCACCAGCCATAATAAATTAGACAGCTATAACACAGAGGCTCCATAGTGCAATTTTGTAAGACCGTAATTTTCCAGCATACATCTTGTGACACACATACTGTACACTTTCTTTAACGGTTTATTAACGTTCTTATTTTTGATGCAGGATTGGAGAGGGTAAAAGCAGCCTGAGCGTTCTTGGTGTTGGAAGTGGTGGAGGTATGTGATCAAATATAACAATAAGTGTAATATTAATTGTAGTAGCATTACTGACCATTGTATATGTGTGCTGTGGTAGTTCTGGCTTATTTTGTCATGTGGCAGTGTGAAGTGGGCAGGAACACTGCCCAAAATGCAGGCTCACAAACAGGACTGAACTCAAAACTCTTTAAGCTTTATTACTGGAAATACAGAGGACATGAAACCAAACTGGGGAAAACTAGGAAACTAACAAACAGCCAGAGTATGAGGGAGATGCAGACTCTGGCTGTTTGTTAGTTGAAAGTAATCTAACTAATGAGACAAGGAAGCAAAACTGAACATAACGCACACAGCACAGGAGGCTAACAAAGGAATTATGAGAAACACACACTGAGACACAGACTGACTAAATGCAGGCAACAGGGGGAGCGAGAGAACTTAACATGCATAACCAGACATGATGGACTACACAAGGAGGCACAAATAACTTACACAGGAGACGTTGGAGAAGACACAGAAGCAAGACTGAGAGACTGGCCATGAGAGGGATCTAAATGATTAAACAAGGGCTAGGAACTAGAACTTAACAAAACTCAGAGGCACTCTAAACTGAATATCAGCATCTTAATATTCTGCAAAAACAAAATAACAAACTCAAAAACGGGTCAAAGACTCAAGACCATCACATATTTACTTGTTTTAAACCAGTGGTTCTCTGTGGCAGTCCCCACAGATTAAAGTGGAGCAGCTGAACAAACAGGGTTTTTTGAAGAAAAGAGTTTTCTGATGTTGTCATGCTGACCTTTATTTCACTAAAATGTAATCCTGGATACTTTTTTTTTTTTTTTTTGTTTCTGAAGTGAGACATGCCAGAAAAAGTTTGAGAATCGCTGTTAAAAAGCTCCAATTAAACTGATTACCATGCCCTTCAAAGGCGTGCAACAAAGAGAATTCATAATAACAGTGTCTGTGGGGGCATTAATACATTAAAGTCACTGTCAAAGCTATTGCAGATTGCACTTGGCTCCACATATGATCAATATAGGTCATAGATCACTCCGGTTATTGCACAATGACATCAAACAACAAACTGTTAATGATTCTGTTGATCAGAATGATAAGAAGTATTACACACATCTGCGTTATATATATTTTTGACTTTTCTAAATAAATTTCAGGTTTTTTTTAAAGTGTTCTATACTATATGTTTTGGAGCATTTTCATTTTAAAGCGTTATGTGGAGCCACAGGTGTTCAAAATCTTCTTCACTTCCTGATTTTTTTTTTTTTTTCCCCCCAGGTGAGGTGGATGCTCAGATCCTCACACTACTGCAGTCTGTATTCCCTGCTGTTCCTATTACTGCTGACATTGTGGAGGGCAGCTCTGAACTCTCAGACAACTTCAAAGGTATTAACCATTCACATTCACACCACATGTTGAAATATTTTTACTCTATTTTCAGATGGGTTTCCTCTTCAGGCTCTTCTTTACCTTTCTGAAAAGCCGATGTATTAGTGCCAGTAGTGAAAGTACTAACATTATCAGCTGACATTTAGAGCTTTCTCAAAATGCCAAAAGAAGTAGTTACTTTGTGTGTTGTTAAAATTCATCATGCACTCATTTGTGTTGCAGTACCTGAAAATTGTGTAAAACGTGCATACATCGTCATCTGAAATCATTTGTTTCACTTGTATTGTATTGTATTGTATTGTATCTTTATTTGTTTCAGACATATAAAACAAAAAACAATATATACACACTACATATATTTTCATTTACAGATACGAATATATATGTAGATATACACACACACACGTATGTGTTCAGATAAACAAAAAATATATAATGAAATAAAACAAAATCGTCTGACATAATGTAACAATGTTTGGTCTGAAAAGGAGTAGGAAGAAGTATGAACATACTTATTAATTCCTACCCCTGCTCAACATCTTATTGATCCCACATAATTCACCTAATTCCCATCATCACATACTCCACACGATACACGAGGAGAACCTATATAAACTTGGCTACCGTGATTGATATAATTTGGATATAATTTGATATTTTTATACATACAATGGGTGATCATCTTTATCGGTATCATATTCTTCCAAAATCAGTTTTCGAAGTATTTTCATGAACTTACT